GTGTGAATGGAGAAGTCACATGACTTCTTCAGCATATTGCTAAAGTCTCAATTTAGGGAAAACCACTTAAAACCTTCCATCCTGTCCAGTGAAGGAATGAAACGAGATTTGTGGCGCAATTCATTAAGGAAAAAAACAGTTCACCCCGAAACTCTTCAGCGAGTAACATTTTATTAAAAGCAAAACTGCCCTTATTGCTTCCTCGAAATTTGAATGTGAATGCAACAGTGAGGTCATTGCATAACCCACATGACTCGTATTACTGAGTGAATGTATTTTCAAAAGTTTCTTGCACCTTGTTTATTTGGCAAGTTGTCAACATCTCAGACGTTTTGTATTTTTATTATTCCGTTATCGCCATCTTTGTGTTTACTCTTAGCTGCACGTAATATAATGATTTTTCTTAAGTAAAAACAATGTTTTTTTAGGATTTTATTAATCATCAGAAGCGCACTCGATTCGATAGCCTAGAAGCCTAAAGCGTAAAAATGGATAGTTTGTCAAAACTCAAAGGTGACTAACTGGCATAGTGATCTATCAATGCACAGCCCAAACCACTGGACGGATGGGCTGAAGTTTGGCATGCAGGTAGATGTTATGACGTAGGCATCCGCTAAGAAAGGATTTTGATCAATTCTACCCCCAAGGGGATAAAATAGGGAATGAAAATTTGTATGAAACTTTGTCAATTTTAAACCTATCGGGCTGAGACTTTGCATGCAGGTATAAGAAGAATCATAGATGAATGTCATTGTGTATAATACAAGCCTGAGAACAAAAACTGTAGTCTACACTTTAGCTCTACACCGAAGCGAAGCGGGCCGCTAGTCTAATATAAGTATATATTTATTAACGATGACTAGGCCTTCCATTTCTATCATCCATTAGCCCACTTGAAGATTCGATTTGTCTGTTGAATCACAAGTCCGGAATGTTACAGTAATCAGAAGTAACTGGTGTAGATCACTCTTACGTCTGTAGTGTTAATTTATCTCTGTTTAGATTTCATTCATTAGAATCGATTACAGATTCAGTGTGAATTTGACGATTCAATCTTTTTGGAGTGTGTTTAGATTTTCTAAAATATTGTATGCTTAAAAACATCTTACTTGGATTGTTTTATCTGTAGTTCCATCTCTCCCTATTCCATCCATAGGGAAGGCCTGTGCCCCAGCAGTGGGGTCATTAATAGGCTGATGATGATGATGATGATACTCCTTAATTCATTTGTATGTACCAGAGCGACTTTCATTCGATAACGCGGAGAAAAAAACTATTAATAGCATAAATGCATGCTACTGTTATTAGACAAGTGGAAGAACCCAATCTGGTATGTTCCTGGGCTTCTCTGGGTGCCATTTGTTAATAAGTAAAGTGAAACGACAAAAATTTCACTAGAAAAACTTTCCTTTGAGTGTTTCTAAGACGTGAGCTGCTCGCCAGACTGGCGTCCGTCGGCGTCTACGTTTTTATTCCTAATACATTAGGTAAATTGGATTCGTTCAAGTTTTAGGTTTGCGGGAGAAGCTATTTTCACATTTTTACTATACTTGTTATTGTTATAATTGCGTTTGTTAGTAATAAGCTGGATAGATTCTGGTATTCATCATATTTGTTGCATTTATTGCTGCTTTCAATTGGGAGTTCAAGTTCAGTTCAATTTAATATTACTGTTTATAAACGTGATTCAAACCGTGGCTCCGACACTCGTCAGCCATCATAGATGTCCACAATAGATTTCACAATTAATATTGCTCCGTCGTATTTGTGATGTTCTGATACTGTGAGGGTTCTATTGTCCGTCCGCCTGACATTAGTATGTTGGTGCACCGTGATGTCATTCCGCGGTGTCATTGCGTACCACTTGTATTCAAGCTACACGCTTACGGCTCTTTTATACAGATGAATAGTATGATTTATTGTTAGACTATAACATTGACGGCTGACCATCAAAATAGTTCCTATAATGAAACGGGATTTCGCTTCGTAACAAGAGGTATGTCTTAATCTGAATTTATTATGTAGCGTGTAATTAAAATTAGGTGCATCGCTTTTGAGACTAATAATTTAGCTGTTTATTGAAGTTCTGCTGAAATCGATGATTCTGAACTTATAACCGTCTTCTCAACATTCAAGTGTTCCTCGTAAAATATGTCATTAGTCTGTCCGGGCTGGCTGGCTGCCATAAGATGGAGATATCCTTTATTGAAGGAGAGCTGAGCCAGATATTATTTTGTTTATTCGTCCCGGCAATGTTGATTTAGCTTCCGATTATTTCAATTACGTCACCTATGTCAAGTTCCGGCGAGTCGTGTTCATTAAAGACTTCAAAAGTTAGTTACTCGTAGTAACCTGTTTCTTAATTTATGTTAAGATAGTAAAAAAAATATTCAAGTCCTTGAAATAATAAACTCATTCTACAAAAGTCATAATAATTCTGTCTGTTTTTTTATTTGTCCTCAGCTCATTGCAATTACGCAATTAATCATTCTAGCCGGACAATTGCCACGTATGTTTAGTTTCGTTTTTGTTGCTCTTATAAATTGTAGTGTTTATGAGTGTTTGATTGTAGCAACCAATTTCAGAGTTGTGTTTAAAAACAATGCCGCTTTTGGTGCAGAGAAGGTCAGCTTTACTGATAACTCTCGTGAGAAAACAAACCCAATTATTTAGCTTGTTCTGTCATAATCATAACAAAACGATCATGTAACAGATACCCACCAAAAAAATAAATGTAAAAAAAGGAGAGCCAAGTTCAATACAAAAATTATGCTTGGCTGTGGGCTTCGCCGCAAAAAGAATGGAGATTATTTTTTGACTTAACTTTATTTTTATATTTTTGTTATATAGCAAATATACATATACATATATTGGAGTAGTTTCAAATCGGTTTCAACGCTACATTTTTTTTTCGTATGGGGACCCCCCCATTTTTAACTTTTTTTTATTTTAAGAGATTTTACTACGCCTACACACAATTAACGAGCTGGATTCCAATTTTTTTACTTCTAGGTCACCTGGAAGTAGGTTAGATTTAGGTACTATATGTCAGTCAGTCAGTGCTAAAATTTACGACTTTTTGACCTTCATCTCTTATCTATTAGACAAGTCCGTCCGTCTGTCTGTGGTGCTGTTTCAGCGGCCAAACCGTAAGAGATAGATAAAGAGAATATTTAAGTTATAAGTTAAGAATAGTCTGGTAAGACTACAAACCGGATTTGAGTAACGTAGCACTTCCGGTTTTCGAGAAATCAGGTTTTGGTGAACATTTGGTTCACTGGTTTGCTAGTATCTTTATAACCGTTTGAGCTAGCTTAATTAAATTTGGGCTTCTAGATGTCCTTATGGATATAATTTAACACACGTAGTTGTATGTGTTTACGTTAAAGGGGTTTTGAGTTATAGAAGGGTCAAAAGTGGCACCAAGTGGTTCATGTAATATTTCCAGTTGTAATAGCCAGTTGCTTTGCTTGAACTTGGCTTGATACGCTGCCGCGTATCTAGATTTTCGGTTAGATGAAAGTGAAAAGCCGCAGTTGCTAAGTTACAATATGTGCTTTTGTAGGTCACAGAATACAGAGGTTTAGATACCTTTTTCATCGCCATTTCAGATATCAACTTATTTCATTTTGGTAAGTTTTTGAATCAGTCTAGATTATTCCAGTTGTATTTTAAGAATTTTAACTGCTAGATGTTTAATTGTAAAGTCAATTTTACTAGAGAAAATTGCACTCATACAGGTTGCAGACGATCATTTCGGAAGCAATAAATATATAAACATCAATTTGTAATTGACGCGACCCATCCACCAGTGGGTGCCCGCGGCCTCGGCGCCTAGGTGCTGGCCTTAATTATCCAATTGACACGATCCTCGCCCGGAGTACTTCAGATGCTTAAACTCCTCCAGTTTGATTGAATGGCCTCGCCTGGGGTTTTGCGTCGCCGTGCCCAAATTTTCCTGTTCTTTCATTTCCATTATTTACTATATTAATAAATATTTTTAGATTTTGTTTTTCATTGTTTCTGTATTCAATTATCTTGTTACCTTTGTGATGTTTAAATGGAACTGTTTCCGAATATTAAGAAATTAAAATAACGAATTCTTAAAATAAAAGTATTGTAATGAATTGTGTCTTAAGATGATTGTTTCTTTAATCTCACCTTCTACTATCTATGTTGTGGTTACCACACGTAAAAAAGATTGTTAAGAGTCTGTTTAAGATTTATTTAGAATATAATACAAATTTTCTTCATCTGTAATAAAAACTGAAGTAGTTAAAATAAGAATTTTAATTTTGAATATGATATTCTCTACAATTTCCAATTAAGCCATAAAATGTAATTGGTAAGTCGAGCTTAGCATATTACTTTGAAACGTTGAAAATGAACCCGCTTCGGGCACAATTTTTAACACAATATCATTTGCTGTTCACGAGGGACAAATTAAAGGCCAAGTTTGAGTACTCTACCTAGCTTAATTTCGCAATATATCCTATTCATTATTATTCGCGTGTGTTTTCCCACGTCTTCCGAGCAGTCAGTACCGTTGATTTACGAACCCATTGTGATGCTGTTGCGGGAACAGGCGTGTTTGCAAATTGGTGGCTGGTTTTGTAACCTCCTTGATAAGATGTGCTATGATGTGCCTACGTAAATGTCTCTTCTGCTAATGTGTTTTATATTTATGTAAACTGTCTTATAAAATTAATGGTTACCTAGTTAAGTAACATATAATATAATGTCGTCCAATTTATAATGCCCAGTAGCATAATAGTCCACTCTGCCTGATCTGTTATGTCCGATGTATCTGAGAATTCTGAGACAGGTACACTAATTATCCTTGTAATTCGAAACCCTGACCCTGACTTTTCAAGGAATACAGCAGTAAAGCTAACTATTTGGCTCTGTCTTTAAGATGGCAACTTCTAACTCGGACTAGAGACCCTTACCTATCGTCATTATTGGACTTTGACTCACGCTAGCTGTATGGTTGTTTCCAGGTGTTGAAGGAAGAGCGGCGCCATGCCGGAGGGCGTCAAAGAAGACGCGAAGGCCAAGGATGGCAAAGACGATGTGAAGGTCAAAGGCAAGAAGGAGGCGTCGCCGCGGCGACGACCCGGACACACCACCCGGGTCAAGGTCGAGCTGCTGGACGGCTCCACCATGGAGCTGGATGCAGACGTGAGTATTCTTCATCATCATCATAATCAGTCGATGGACGTCCACTGCCGGACACAGGCCTCCTCTAGAGATTTCCGAACACAACGGTTGTGCGCTTTCCGCATCTGGATGCGGGGGCAGGACACAGGTTACTTGGGCCCCCCCTGTCTCGCTTGATGTCGTCAGTCCAACTGGTAAGGGGTCAACCGACACTACGCTTCCTGGTGTAAGGTCGCCATTGCATCGTGGGACCCCAACGTCCATCGGTTCGCAGAACAAGGTAACTCTAGATAGGTGACTATAGATGAAATGGGATAAAGTCGTTCTCTTCCAACTTGAAATGTTGGATCATCAAAGGAAATAGGGATTATTTTTTTACAAAGGGGTGTAGTTATTACTATTTTTAATTTGTTTTCCTTTTGTTTTTTGTTTATCTGCCAGTTTGCAAGGATTATGAATAAATTAAGAGTAAAAAAAGAATCGCTTAGTAAAGTTGAAGGCAAGGGTAGCACTAAATGTGCGGCCTATGGGAGCGGAAATCCAGTCATTACGCGGGAAAGATGTCAAGCTCCCGATAGTGTGATCCTTCAAATACGCTGAGCTGATAAATTAATGACGTTGCAATATAAGATTCTCTAACATAGCTTTATGTCATACTTTGTGAGGCAGGTCGATCAACGGAAAGTTAGCTTCTAGATCGACTTGATTAAAGATTGAGAATAGATTACTTGCTTAGTGGATTGAGTCTAAAATTATGGATTCCAATATTAACGAAGAATATTGTAGTCCAATATTGTAACAGGACATTGCAGACTTGTAGTCTAGAAACATATGAAATGATGTAAATTGACAAAAAGGATTTAAAACCAAAACATCTTCATGATCTTTTTCTTTACATCACAAAGTTTTCTTCATACGAATAGTTACTAATAGTTCATCATCATCATCATCATCATATCAGCCGTATGACGCCCACTGCTGGACATAGGCCTCCCCCAAGGATCTCCACAACGATCGGTCCTGCGCTGCCCGCATCCAGCGTTTTCCCGCTACCTTCACCAGATCGTCGGTCCACCTTGTAGCGGGTCTTCCCACAGAGCGTCGTCCGGCACGCGTTCGCCATTCGAGAACCTTTCCGCCTCAACGGCCATCGGTTCTCCTCGCTATGTGTCCCGCCCACTGCCACTTCAGCTGGGCTATTCTTCGAGCTATGTCGGTGACTTTAGTTCTCCTACGGATCACGACATTTCTGACTCGATCACGCAGGGAAACACCAGGCATAGCTCTCTCCATTGCCCGCTGGGCGACCTTGAGCCGTCCTATGAGACACATAGTAAACGACCACGCCTCACTGCCATAGGTCATCACTGGCAACACACACATACTAATAGTTATCCATGACTTACTAAAAATGTTGGGATGAAACTGTATTAATTATACAGATCAATGCTTGAATTATTGAAATATATATCTGCTTAGTTTTAGAATAATTCTCTAAACTGAAGTCTAAACTCAACAGTAGCCACTTTTTCCTTTTTTAGAAATTTAGTATTAAAGATCATCTCACTATAATTTAGTTTTGCCATAATCCGAGAATATTTTCGACTGTTAATTCATTTTTCTTGCTTCTTTTGAACCTAGTTCGTGGGTTCAAGCGTCCTTACTGCGTGAAGAACAGTGTAATTAGCATTTCAAATCAAGTCGCACCATTCCAACTTCCTTACTGATAACGAAGGGTTTGTTGCATTGCAACAAAGAAACACTACATGCATTATTTTGTAAATGTAACAATTCTCTTTGTTATATATTTCACTGAATGGCACGTCTCGAAGATTAGTATTCTATGCCTTCTAGATTACAAACTAAAAAATTAAAATTACAGCTATTAACGGGATTGTTACCATGTACCTTGTTTTTATGAGTCTCCGATATTGTGTGTCGGGAACAAGTGCGAGTGAATAGTGAGAATGTGACCAGTGGTAGGGGTATCGAGCGCAGTAAAAGACCACGTCAGAGGGTAGACCGATATGTCTGCGTAATAACATCTACCCGCAATTACTTCAGTTACTCCGTGATCATGGCGCTTGCAACAGTGCCGTAATATCGGGAGACTCATAAAATACGAGGTACATGGTGACAATCCCGTTAATAACTATAATGTTAGTGACCATGAAAGTTTAAAATAAAATTTTAAACTATTTCATGTGTATTAAGAGAGGATGGCGGATTTCCCGCTCGAATCGGAGCGCACGTCTGCGGAAGTATTCTCCACCTTACAGAAGATTTCAGTAAAATAAAATGGTGGTGTTGTTGTGTCGAAGGCCAGGGCTCCAAGGTGTCGCGGACAGTCGGCAACGGTTGCCGCGACCACACCCGCACTCCCTGCGTGCATTCCTCGGACTGCGGTCCTCAGAATGTATGCCGGGTGACCGGTGCAGGAGTATTGACTGCTTTTTAGTGGCCCTGTTCAGGGCGTTAGGTGGGGTCCTGCTCATTTCACCCGGCCTAAGGGCTGGCTGAAATGTGCAGGGAGGAGTCCCACATACCTTCCTCTCGCTCCCCCGGTGGTTGAAGGATGCGTAGGGCAATTCCCAGAGAAGAAAAGGGCTCCCCGGTGTAGGGGATTAGGTTAGAGTAGGGGCGAGTGATGTTTACCCCCCCCCTTGTAGTTCTGTCCTGCAAAGAGGGGGGCGGCGGAGGGAGCTACACGGGCACGCCCAAGTAGCCCTCCGCAGCGGACGGGGGGCGGTACGGTGGGCACTAGGCCGCGTACTCAGCCCCCACGCGCGGGCCTACCCGCGCACTTCTGCGGGGTCCCCGCGATACCCCGGGAGACCCCTGCCGTGGAGCCCCGGCTAAGGCCGGGAGGCTGCTGGGTGCGGAGAAGCGGAGAATCCCTAAACGGGGATCCCGCGGCTTCGCACTAGGCAGCTTAGAGGGTATTCGCAGGACTTTTTTAGCGGATATTATACCGTAAAGCGCCAGCCAGCGCCAGGTGTGAGGTCCGTTCGGCGGTGTGCCTCTTAAAGGCGCCGTCGTCTGTAAATAGATTTTGTACCTGCGTATTAAAAAAAAAAAAAAGTGATGTTTACGGTATCGCATGCATCTATCTAAGGGCTATGGTGGCCGCTTAGCATCAAGCGGGCCATACGCTTGTATGCCATTTTTCTAACATAGAAATGTTTTGAACTAACCTTTACACTTGTTCAACAATAAATCTCCTAAATCGCAGTGGCTACAGTTTGATTCATACTGGATCAAGTTAGTTCTTCTGTCAATGAGTATCTCGATAGCGCAGTCGGTAGCGCGTTCGGTCTGCGATTGTGGAAGTTAAACAACGTTCATAATGGCCACTCATAGGATGGGTGACCAATAATTGATTTTTATTTAAGAGCTCGATCTCCACCGCGTTTTGAAAAACACTTTAAGCCGTTAATCCCAGCTGTACCTGCAATCGTTAAGATAATCCAATCCGTACTGAGCCTGTGTGGTGGGCCATGGCCCGTTTTTCCTATTAGCTATAGGGAAAGCCAGTGCTCCAATAGTGGGGATATATTAATAATTCCCCCCGTCAACAGCCTATTAGCGTTAAGCGGGAGCACGGAGCGAACGTAGGCGAGGTGGAAGACTGGAGACCCGCGCAGGCCCTAAGGCTGGTGATGATTTCGAACCATTATGTGATATATAGACCCGCCTCACGCAGCGCTGTTCTACGAAATAACATGAAACTGCACGCGGAGCGGTCGTCCGCTCCGTGCTCCCGCATAACGCAGCGCAGGCCCTAAGGCTGGTGATGATGTCGAACCATTATGTGATATATTTTGTCGTAGTAGAATGTGAGGCGGGTCTCCCGTCGCAGCGCTAATATATTAAACTAGCGGCCCGCCCTCGCTTCGCTTCGGTGTATAGCTGAAGTGTAGACTACAGTTTTTGTTCTCAGGCTTGTATTATACACAATCACATTCATCTATGATTCTCTTATACCTGCATGCAAAGTCTCAACCTGATCGGTTTAAAATTGACAAAGTTTCATAGAAACTTTCATTCCCTATTTTATCCTCTTGGGGGTAGAATTGATCAAAATCCTTTCTTAGCGGATGCCTAAGTCATAACATCTACCTGCATGCCAAATTTCAGCCCGATCCGTACAGTGGTTTGGGCTGTGCGTTTGATAGATCACTATGTCAGCCAGTCATCTTTGAGTTTTATATATACAGGGTGTTACAGAATTCCGAAATAAAATTTGTAGGTATGTATTCCGAAATAAATTTTGTAGGTATCTGAGCGGGGCGCAGGGGCGCCTGGGGGAGAGAGGGGGGTCTGTTTAGGTAGTAGTAATCTTATGCATTTATAGGGTTGTCATAGGCAGGTGTATAACGATATTTTTATTAATTTAATTAGAAAATAAAAGTGGACTGAAAGGCGTCAAACTTTCGTAGGTAATTCTATATAAGGAACACAACCAAACCCCTAAAGTTTTATTTCGGACTTTTGTCACACCCTGTATATAGATAACATGAAACAAACACACGGAGCGGACGTCCGTTCCGTGCTCCCGCTTAACGCAGCGCAGGCCCTAAGGCTGGTGATAATGTTGATGTTAAACCATATTTTGAGAAGAACTTGGTAAAATAACAGTGTGGTTTTACTTTGTTGCAGAGAAAAGTACGAGGTCACGAACTGTTGTCAAAGGTTTGCGACAGCCTAAATTTGGTGGAGAAGGATTATTTCGGTCTTCTGTACGAGGACCGCGGCGACAAGCGCGCCTGGATAGACCTGGAGAAGAGGGTCTCGAAACTGTTGAAACGTAAGTAAATGGAAAGGGATCACTTCTACTTTTTGATGAAGCTTTTAAGAATTTACTGTAGTAAGGAGAATTTCCTTTTAGTGCGTTTCGAATAGACTAGAATTTCTGACTAAAATATATATTTATAACTATTTTGTTGTATTTTATATAGTCATAATTTTTATATTATTTGCCTTTGTTATGGAAAGTGACTTTATGAGTTACCTCATATTGAAATCATTTTTCAATTTGACGACTCTGTATATAATACTGGGAGAAAAAAACAGCCCTTGCTGAGTCTCTTGCCGGTTCTTCTCAGTACAAGGTCTCCCGCCGTAGATTTGCGAACCGATGGCGTAGCTTTTCGACATTCACAAGTGCTTGTAACAGCCTAGACTGAACAAACGATATTGAATTTTTTGAATTTTATGCGATTACTTTAGATTCTATCAATAAATCTGTAGGTCTTAAATAACGTTTTTTGTAGAAAACCACAATTGCTTAACGAAATGGTTAAACGACCTCCGTGGCCGAGTGGTTTATACGCCGGGTTTCATATCGTCGCCGACTCGAGAGGTCGCGGGTTTGAATCCCGGTGGGGGCCGATGTTTGTGTGATGAATACGAGCATTTGTACTCCAGTCATGGCTGTTTAATATCTATTGATATATGAATATACTTATATGTGTACAATAAATGTATTCTATCCGTTACCCTAGTATCCCATAACACAAGCCTTACAGTGCTTACTTTGGGGCTAGGATAATTGGTGTGAGTGTTGGAAATATTTATTTATTTATTATTTTTTTATTAATTGTGTTTTTTTCAGTGGTATGTTTTCTGCATTTTATATAAAACTGACATATTACATAAACCAGTATTTTTTGCATATTATGATTGGTAAAATTAAATTTGATTAAAAATGATGTGTGAAACATGCAATCTCGCTATTTAAGATTCCCTGTTCAGGTTCATCGTAGTCTCACAACTTTATTACCTACGGCATTGCATTAAACCAGTGTTGTCAGATCGTACAGCTTTTCCTCTTTTGCTCACGGAATTTTGACAATGGATCCTTATTACGAATCTACTAGAACATTCTCTGTATTCCTCACGCATGGTACCATGCATTCCTTGATTTATGTAATGAGCAAATCCAAATGTCGGGTTTTTATTTGTCACCTTTCGCGTTTTAAATTTCCTCATATGGCAAAACTGCATTGAACTCTAATCTACGATGCAGACGAATCGAATCCCACCAACCACCTATGGCCTGACGATTTTTTTTTAGTTTTTATAGAAAGGTCCGACAAATGACTTCACCCCACCTGATGTTAAGTGAAGGTGAAGTCCAGACGCGAAGATAGCTGATACAGCAGTTCTACCTGCCATACCAGCCACCCTCACCCTGCCGGCCTGTATGTTGCTTCTTCACGCCTCTTTTGAAGGATCCCAGGTTGTAAGAGGGAGGGAACACGTGAGCGGGCAGAGCATTCCATTTACGGATAGTACGACAAAGAAATGAGTCACTAAATTTCTTTGTACGCTTTGGAATTGTAGCCACAGTTAGACGGTGACAACGTAAGCCAGCGCGCGTGGTCCTCTGAAGGAAAGGGGAAGGTGGGATAAGAGAGAATAACACCTCACAACACTCGCCGTAGTACAGACGATAGAAGGCGCTTAGTGACGCCACGTCACGGCGTAATTGAAGAGGCTCGAGGTGTTTAGTCACCTCCTCAACGCCTATGATGCGGATTGCGCGCCGCTGTGACCTATCCAAAGCATCGAGCAAGTATCTCTTATCTATTAGACAAGTCCGTCCGTCCGTCCGTCCGTCCGTGGTGCTGTTTCAGCGGCCAAACCGTAAGAGATAGATATAGAGAATGTTTAAGTTAAGAATAGTCTGATAAGACTACAAACCGGATGTGAGTAACGTAGCACTTCCGGTTTTCGAGAGATCACGTGATTTCTATTTCAAACGAAACCACACAAAATCTCCGAAGTTCTCAATTGATTAAATTTTTTTTTTTTGGTGAACATTTGGTTCACTGGTTTGCTAGTCTCTTATCTAATAGACAAGTCCGTCCGTCCGTGGTGCTGTTTCAGCGGCCAAACCGTAAGAGATAGATAAAGAGAATGTTTAAGTTATAAGTTAAAAATAGTCTGATAAGACTACAAACCCAATTTGAGTAACGTAGCACTTCTGGTTTTCGAGAAATCACGTGATTTCTATTACAAACGAAACCACACAAAATCTCCGAAGTTCTCAATTAATTAAATACATTTTTTTTTTTTTTTGTGAACATTTGGTTCACTGGTTTGCTAGTTATATATCTATCCCGTCCCGTGCCCACTCTGAAATGGTATCTACCGCTGGCTCTAAATCATGCTGTCTTCTTTCTGCAGACGAACCATGGGAGTTGCGGTTCGCGGTGAAATTCTACCCGCCCGAGCCGGCGCAGCTGCAGGAGGAGCTCACGCGCTACCAGCTCGTGTTGGCCGTGCGCAGGGACCTGCTAGAAGGTAATGTCCTCGTCACAATGGGTAATTTTGTTAAATCTAGAATGAACTTTCCAATGAGGGCTACCGTTTTCTGCCTCACCAGATGAGGTCCTAAATTGTAACTTTTAAAGTTTATTAATACGCACATGAAATCAAAGGTTACATTTAGATCGTATTTTAACACAAAAGAACCATACCCTAAACATAATAGGCCATGCCACAGTGACGCGCAGTTCCGTTTTATTCGGAAGAAATGGGAACATAATCATTTTTCTAAGCTCAAATTTTTAATAACTGACATTCATTGCCACATAACTCATATTTGCCATAATTAAGCCGAATTGTTACCAATTATTCACAACATTATTTTAATAAGAAATAAACCCGCGTAGTCAACCAACAAGCAATAACATTTGACATTTCGGAGACCTCACGCTACACTAGCGCCTCTAGCGGCGGATTCATACGCGATAGCCCTCATTTCCTTCGCTTCCTTCCCGCCCTTCGCTGGGTTCGAATCCCGCTGGAACAAATGTTTCTATGATGTGTCTTTACAAGGGGGTAACTGCGGGGGGAGTTCTCGCTGGCTTGAACTTGTGTGTGGGATGCGTGCTCAACTCTTGCCGATGAACATGAAAGTTGGTTGGTAATTCGGTGAAGGCTCTACGAGCGTCACACGCGACATATGTATGACTAGTGGCCCGCCCTCGCTTCGCTTCGGGGTAGAATTGATCAAAATCCTTTCTTAGCGGATGCCTACTTCATAACATCTACCTGCATGCCAAATTTCAGCCCGATCCGTCCAGTGGTTTGGGCTGTGTGTTGATAGATCACTATGACAGTCGGTCACCTTTGAGTTTTATATATATACTAGCTGACCCAGCGAACTTCGTACCGCCCTAAAAAAATAGGGGTTGTCCAGCGGACAAAATTGTGAATCTAAACCATTCTCAGATCCCCTTGAACACACACAAAAAATTTCATGAAAATCGGTCCAGTCGTTTAAGAGAAGTTCAGTGACATACACACTCACAGAAGAATTATATATATAAAGATAGATATATGAGTGATGAGTTCGCTGCTCTATTTCCCTATGCCTTATGCACCGCCTAATGTTAGGTTACTTAAGAAAAGAAGTTTCACTTCAGATGTGTGGTCCGCACTATCTTTAACATTATTTTTTACTATGGCACACTATTTTTTTTTATCTTCAAATCAGTCCATAACTCCTCGAGCGGGGAAGCATAATCTTCGCAAATTCCTAACGGTCCGTTCTCACGTATCACATACGGTGGACTTTATTCGTTCGTTCGTTCGTAGGACGCGACGCGTTGATTTGTACTATTTAGAGTAAAAGTCACAAGTGATACCGTATTTACGTACGGACCATATGAAAGGGATTCTATTAGCTTTTTGAAGTGATAACTTCTTATGGGAGGGTAAACCGCTTCGTTACGTAACGCGTTACTGCGCCAGTCTGTCTGGCTTCCCTTCACAGCACGCCTATCTCCTTAGGCGGGGCCTAAGAAGATAGGCGCTACAGCCCGCCCAGCTACCAGATTTTTCAATTTGACGACTCTGTAAATAATAAAACAGGGAGAAAAAAACAGCCCTTGCTGAGTTTCTTGCCGGTTCTTCTCAGTACAAGGTCTCCCGCCGTAGATTTACGAACCGATGGCGTAGCTTCTAGACATTCATGAGTGCTTGTAACAGCCTAAACTGAATAAATGATTTTGATTATGATTATGATATTTTTCCCATCAACAGGTCGTCTACCGTGTTCTACCGTGACGCACGCTCTGCTAGCGTCGTACTTGCTACAATCGGAGCTCGGGGACTACGAGGAGTCCGAGGCGGGCGCGGGGCTCTGCAAACAATTGAAGCTGGCGCCCCCCGCCGCCTGCACCCCCGACCTGGAGGAGAAGGTCGTCGAACTGCACAAGACGCACAGGTGACCGACATCATAATCATCGTATTTTATCGATAGAGGGCGCTACTGTTGTGTTAAAGAAATTTAAGTCAAAAATTTAAAAAAAAATCGGCCAAATGCGAGTCGGACTCGCACACCGAGGGTTCCGTGCAAAGCTGTAGGTATATTTTAATAATTATTAAAAAATATTTTTTATTGTATGATGTAACCAAAAATTTTCGGTTTTCGCAATTTTTCCTTTATCTGTACTATAAGACGTAGTAAAAGACGTAGACGTAAATTGCAAGATTCTAAGTTCACGGGAAGCACCCTGTAGGTTTTCATTCCCGTGCGAGTTTCGAAAATTTGCGGCATAAACGGCTGTACCTTTTGATTGCTTTGGCTTAGAAGTTTGATTTTTTACAGCTCTAAGGGACAGTAGACCTGAGTATAGATATGAATTTCAGTTTGATACCTCCACGCGTTCCTGAGAAAAACGGTCTTGTCAGACGGACGGACGGACAACAAAGTGATAGGATCACTTACGGGTTAATGCACGAAACTTTATTTATTTATTGACGTTAAATAAATAAAGTTTCGTGCATTAACTCGTAAAAAACTAGTTTTATTTAATGAGTGATGTGCGTGAAAACCTAAGAAACAAATATGATCCTATAAGGGTTTCGTTTTTTCCTTTTGATGTATGGAAACCTAAAAATATTGGTTGTCTGTACGGACGACAGTTTTACGTGATAGCGTCATAAAGAAACATTGCTCTCGCTTGCACGCTTAGGCACAGGCGGAACGTGACACTTTTTCGTGCGTGCAGTCGGTGTTCATCGATTTATAACACGTTATCACGTCAAAAAGTTAACACGTATTCGATAAATATTTCCAACCATATCGAATAAAAATATTAATTAAACTCATGTTGTTTTTAACGCGCGTAATAGTAATTCGTAAAGATAAATATTACCGACTGATTGTATTATCGTAATGAATAATTTCAATCACAGATCGAACTAATAGAAATTTTGGCAATAAATCAACTTGTGAAAAATATTCCGATTGTATTTGAATAAAAAATTTGACTGATTTTTTTATAACCAATAAAATTATGTGATATTTTTATTCAAAGATTAACTTTTCAAAAAATTTTTTTCGACCATTAACGCCTCCTGTACTCTCCTACTTACCGAGCTAGGAGACTATGATTGTAAGGCGATTCAACTAAGAATAGGATCGACTGGGCGCCATATTTTCACGTCAATTCAAACCAAATGGTAGAATGAGCAAAAAAATGTTGCTATTTAATAAAACTTATGTACTAAGATTAAGTGAGACAAAACATCAGATTTTTTAATAAAATTAATTTACTAAGGTTGAGAAAGAACACAACCGATTTTTAATAGTATTTCTTTATTAAGACTGTGTGAAAAAAACATTAATCAGAATCTTGCTCTTCAATTTCGCTTATCTCTGCATTACCGCCGGAGAAGTTATGAATAATCATGCAGGTTACATACGAACATGCATCCTATATGTAAACGAAAGTTTTAAATCGAGTTTTTGAACGCAACATAAAGTGACATTTGGTTGACGATTTAGGTTATCAAACATTCATAGCCAAAGCTCAATAAATGAAAAAAAAACAACTAATATTAATTATCAACATTTGTTATAGTTTGTTTAAAAATATTGGATTTTATTCTAGAATCAGCTGAGTGCTAAAAAACTGTTCCAGGTTTTTTTTTGAATACTGTACTTTTCAAGCGACATTTGACAGATGGAGGTCATTGGCTTTCCTATTCTTATTTGAATCGCATTATACCTACATATTGTGCTTACTTTATCGGTTCGAATTGCTTTCCCATTCGAAAAATAACAAAGGAAATGACAGAGTGAGCGGGATAGTGACAATCGAGCTTGCACCTTGCAATCTTTGCTGTCCGCAAGAAGAATCTCTTATCTATTAGACAAGTCCGTCCGTCCGTCTGTCTGTGGTGCTGTTTCAGCGGCCAAACCGTAAGAGATAGATAAAGAGAATGTTTAAGTTATAAGTTAAGAATAGTCTGATAAGACTACAAACCGGATTTGAGTAACGTTGCACTTCCGGTTTTCGAGAAATCACGAATTTCAAACGAAACCACACAAAATCTCCGAAGTTCTCAATTAATTAAATACATTTTGTTTTTAATCAGGTTTTGGTGAACATTTGGTTCACTGGTTTGCTAGTTCCAACTAATGGAGAACCTACTTATTGAGCGAGAATCTTAACGCCTGTACTCGTACAGAATAAATTAATAATAATATCAATTCTTGATCAAAAAAAATTTTACTAGAAAAAAAAATCCACGTGGTCCAGGCAGCAGACCTTATGGCCATGCCTAATATCGTCCAGTATTTCTTAGGCTGCAAGGCAGAGCCCCAGTTCATCCTCCCGGTTAGCGGTTTTTTTCTATTAATAATATTTATAATAATATTTATTTTTTAAGCTTATAACTTCGTTTATTTTATTTTTTAAGCATTTAACCGCTAGATGTTTAAATCTTTAGAAAAGCTTACTAGTAAAAATTCCACGCGGACCAGGCAGCAGATGGCAAATCAGCAAATAGAAATTTTCACTATATTTAGTTATAATTACAATTGATTTTCTTCTTTCAAATATGTAATACTTGTAAAGGTATTCATTTGACATCGTGGGTTACCTACAATGCGAAGAGATGGCGCTGCCTTGCAGCTTAAGAAAGACTAGAAAGTATACGATACGGTCATCAGGGCCGCGGTAGCATAATGGTCAGTGCATTCACCCGGATAGCGAAGGGTGTTGGTTCGAGTCCCGTCCCGATTTTTTTCTAGTAATATTTTCTTTAGATTTATACATCGCAATTAAATCTAAAGAAAAGTTTACTAGAAAAAATTCCACGCGGACCAGGCAGTGGACGGGACTCGTAACAGGACCCTCCGCCATCCGGGCGGATGAACTGACCATTATGCTACCGCGGCCTTAATTGTCCGTGTTGAATTTTCTCTAGTACTTCTTAGGCTACAAGGCAGCGCCATCTCTTCGAATTGTATGCATCAGTTCTCATTAGTTTATATATTATAGGATTACCCCCCTAGAAATAACCTTATAAAATTAGATTAGACTAGCAAACCAGTGAACCAAATGTTCACTAAAACCTGATTTTAAAAAAAATGTATTTAATTAATTGAGGACTTCGGAGATTTTGTGTGGTTTCGTTTGAAATTCGTGATTTCTCGAAAACCGGAAGTGCTACGTTACTCAAATCCGGTTTGTAGTCTTATCAGACTATTCTTAACTTATAACTTAAACATTCTCTTTATCTATCTCTTACGGTTTGGCCGCTGAAATAGCACCACAGATGGACGGACGGACGGACTTGTCTAATAGATAAGAGATTACAGATTTAACCAGAATATCATTGTCCACAGAGGTCAGACCCCAGCAGAAGCCGAGCTGAACTACCTGGAGAACGCCAAAAAGCTGGCCATGTACGGAGTAGACCTTCACCCAGCCAAGGACTCTGAGAATGTTGACATTACACTGGGAGTTTGCTCATCAGGACTACTGGTGCATCGGGAAAAGTGAGTATATTACATCCTGTGCACTTTATCCTAATTGCATATGTGCACTTAATTCTTTATCCTAACGTTTTGATTCCTCATCATCATCAGCCTATTAATGTCCCCACTGCTAGGGCACAGGCCTTCCCTATGGATGGAATAGGGAGATTGGGCCATGACCCACCACGCGGGCCCAGTGCGGATGCGCAGAAGCAGCCGGGACCAACTGCTTAACGTGCCTTCCGAAGCACGGAGGAACCAGAGATAGAAGATTTTTGGTCACCCATCCAATGACCGACCACTGCGAAAGTTGCTTAACTTCAACGATCGTAGCCGAGCGCGCTAACCACCTGCGCGATCGAGCTCCTCGATGCTCTACGTCTTGATTACTTGACCTAAATGCTAAACTTTTTATTTGCCATCAACACTAGCATTTTACTAATAAGTTTCAGCTCAAGTTGGCTTTCCAATATTATCATCATATTGTCCCAACTGCTGGGGCACAGGTCATCCCCACGGATGGTATATTGAGAACGGGTCATGACCCACCACGCGGGTCCTATAGGTGTGCTCTCAATGACTCGAGTGTCTTCAGACGCAGTCAGAAATAGTTAGGAAAATAAATTTGTGGTCACCCATCCAATGACCCGCAGTTGCGAAAGTTGCTTAGCTCCTCATTAGTTTAGTATCAACAGATTGCAATCGATAGCCATGCATGAAGTTGATCTTCACTCCGCCAAGACTCGGGAGATTGTGGATATAACCATGGGAGACTGCTTACCATAATTACTAATACATCGGGAGAAGTGACCAGTTTATGTCATCAATATAGCTTCGCGCATTTAAATCCTGAAGCTTAGCATCTAAGCTCCAATTGCAGCAAATTTGCAATATCTCGATTTAACCAAAACCAGATTTAGCCCATAAAACTCCTCGTTTACACCAACGTATAAAACATGTAATTAAAATAAATATAAATTGCTTTTTTTTCATACATAAACAGGTAGTATTTAAATACTTGCATCAAGCTTGTTGTGTGAACAAAGTATGTGAAGTAAATAAGTGATTTATAATTGCAAAATACTAGTTGTATATGTGATATACAGGGTGTTACAAAAAGCTTGTAGGGCGTTGAAGTACATCATATAGGAGTCTTTTCTAATTTTCTTAAAATATTTGCATGAAGTTTTAACTTTTTATAAAAACAGTTATCTTTAATGATTAATAAAAATATCGATCATTTTAATACCCGTCACTTGTTCCGAGGATCATTCATTCAAGTTAAAATTTCATGCAAATCTTCTTTATATGATGTACTTCAACGCCCTTAAAAGCTTTATTTGTATTTTTGTAACACCCTGTATACAGTGTAAACGAAAAAATGTTTTAAACAGTCACAACAAGTATTATACAACTTTTGTTTAAAACTAGTATATTAATTTGTTTTCTTGGTGGAAACGGGGGGTTAGAACGTGGTGTGCGTGAAAACTTAAGAAAAGAATATTATTTTATATATAAAATTCTCGTGTCACAATGTTAGTTACCATACTCCTCCGAAACGGCCTGACCGATTTTTATGACCTGATATATGCACATTCCGTGGGTCTGAGAATCGGCTACTATCTATTTTTCATATCCTTAAGTGATAATGGTTGTCCACCTGTAGCATAGTGTTCTAAAACCTACAATGCGCCTTCGCGTCAAAATTCAAACTATTGGGTATTGTAACGTAGTGTTCTCATATGGGTTAGGAGGAATGTTATCCCAGGAAATTGATAGAACACTACGTTACACACCCCTAAAATTTTCCTTGGACAATATTTTTTTTAAATGTGATATTAAAAAATACATATAAGCCTAAATTTTCCCTTCTACCACCTGCCCTTATTTTTATGGCGGTACGAAGTTCGCTGGGTCAGCTAGTATTCCCATAAAAACGTGAACTGACCTTTTAATCCTCTTCCAGATTACGCATAAACCGTTTCGCGTGGCCCAAGATCCTTAAGATCAGCTACAAGCGACACAATTTCTACGTAAAATTGCGACCGGGAGAGTTCGAACAGTTCGAGTCCACTGTGGGCTTCAAGCTTGCAAACCATCGCGCCGCCAAGAAGCTGTGGAAGACTTGCGTGGAACACCATACGTTCTTTAGGTAAAATATCTCTATCTTTAAGTCTTTCTCAGGTATGTCTTTTTTATTTGTGATCTGATGGTCTATAATAGATAGTTCTAGCAGTCTGTAGAGGCTTCTAAATGGTCAAGCATCGTGTTGCCAAGAAGCTGTGGAAGACTTGCGTGGAACACCATACGTGCTTTAGGTAAAATATCTCTATCTTTAAGTCTTTCTCAGGTATGTCTTTTTTATTTGTGATCTGATGGTCTATAATAGATAGTTCTAGCAGTCTGTAGAGGCTTCTAAATGGTCAATCATCGTGTTGCCAAGAAGCTGTGGAAGACTTGCGTGGAACACCATACGTTCTTTAGGTAAAATATCTCTGTATTTATCTCTTTCTCAGGTATGTCTTTTTTATCTGTGATCTGATGGTCTATAATAGATAGTTCTAGCAGTCTGTAGAGACTTTAAACTGGTCAATCATCGTGTTGCCAAGAAGCTGTGGAAGACTTGCGTGGAACACCATACGTTCTTTAGGTAAAATATCTCTGTCTTTATCTCTTTCTCAGGTATGTCTTTTTTATCTGTGATCTGATGGTCTATAATAGACAGTTCTAGCAGTCTGTAGAGGCTTCTAAATGGTCAAGCATCGTGTTGCCAAGAAGCTGTGGAAGACTTGCGTGAAACACCATACGTTCTTTAGGTAAAATATCTCTGTATTTATCTCTTTCTCAGGTATGTCTTTTTTATCTGTGATCTGATGGTCTATAATAGATAGTTCTAGCAGTCTGTAGAGACTTTAAACTGGTCAATCATCGTGTTGCCAAGAAACTGTGGAAGATTTTCGTGGTAATACCTTAGATTAAAACAAAAAGGGTAGATACGGTACGCTCATACTAGCATCAAATAAAATATGATGACGACTCAACTACATAAGCAACTCTCGCCACGCACACGTCTGTTTAAAAACATCAATCGAGCGAGCGAGACAGAACTATACGCTTCAAAGCAGCGTATAGTTGTCCTTTTCTTGCTTACAAAATGGCGATTACGTAAATAATGTTCACGACAAACCGTGATATTTGAGAAAAAAAATGTTTTCACAGTTTTACGAATGAAAAGTGTTGCCGGGCCATTTGATTTTTAACTAAGTATTTGTGTTCTTTATAAAAGCATCGAAGCCATTGTTATATCTTCATAACACAAAATATACGCAATATTGTTATATTGAGTGTACATGCTGCGTGTTTGAATGTCAAATTGTGACTAAAGCGAATTATGGTCGTGGGACCACAATTTAAGCGGACCACTTTTGTTTTAATCTAAGGGTAATACTATAGAAATGCTAAGATAGTTGCATAATTTTGTTAGTTTTAAGGGGAATTTTGATATACGACACTCCATGTTTTTATGTGTGAATCTGGTGTCACTTGCCCAGGTTTAAAGCTGAAAAATATGCCATCGCTTCGGCTTCGCCCCAGCCCATATTTACACGTTCGTCCATCATACGTGTTGATTCTGGCATGATTCTCTAAACCTAAACTGAAATTTGACAACAGGGTGTTCTTGTCATTTTCTATACAGAATGAATAGGAGGGGTTGATGTTAAATTTAGTTGTCAAGTTTAGACAATCATGCCATAAATGCCTTTTTTACTGGCTGCTACAGTAACGTACTGGTTATTCATTATGAATGAATGCATGATTTGGATGATTTATTTTCTCTCACAAAGTCACAAAGTAACATTATAATTAAGTAAAAGGGTATTGAATGACAATAACAGTAAAAATAATGCAGTTCTTTGAGAGAGCTGGAAATTGTACTAGGTTACAAAACCTGTGTTACGATCTCCAGGCTCAAATCCTCTCAAAGCCCGTCTGCTTTCTAGAGATTCTTTTGCTTAATACATTTTTTTATCGTGATCTATCTTAGGTTTTAAGGGAGAGTATTAATAAGTAAATGTTAAATTATGGTTCTTGCTGAAGAGAAACTTGTAGCTTAATCAACGACCGATTAAACGGAATCTTAACAGATGAAATAAAACAAGTTTCAACGAGTTAGATGCACTGATTTTAAAATAAAATATGAAAAAAAAAACATTATTCCTACGACGAATTCCTTCAAAGCATGCGAAACGTCAAGCTAATATATAAAATTCTCGTGTCGCGGTGTTTGTGGTTAAACTCCTCCGAAACGGCTTTCCCGATTCTCATGAAATTTTGTGTGCATATTGGGGTAGGTCTGAGAATCGGACAACATCTATTTTTCATCCCCCTAAATGTTAAGGGTAATCCACCCCTAAATTTTTTTTTCAATTTTAGATATATTTTTTTTATGATACATCACACAAAAATACATAATCCCTAAATTTTCAACTTTCTATCACGAACCCCTATTTTTTTATGGCGGTACGAAGTTCGCTGGGACAGGCTAGTAAATATATAAAATCAGTGCATCTAACTTGTTTTATTTAATGAGTGTTGTGCGTGAAAACTTAAGAGACAAATATCCCATCAGATTGATGAGCCCCGAGCCCCCGACCAAGAGTACGTTGTTCCCCCGGCTGGGGTCCCGCTTCCGGTACAGCGGGCGCACCCACTACGAGTCCCGCGCCGCGCCCCCCCAGCGGCCCCCCCCACACTTCAGCAGGACGCTGTCCCACCGCCAGCTGTCCTCGCGCAGCATGGACGGTGAGTGCATACACTGTGCCCGCGGGTGGGGTCCCACTGCCCCCCCAGCGGCCCCCCCCACACTTCAGCAGGACGCTGTCCCACCGCCAGCTGTCCTCGCGCAGCATGGACGGTGAGTGCATACACTGTGCCCGCGGGTGGGGTCCCACTGCCCCCCCAGCGGCCCCCCCCACACTTCAGCAGGACGCTGTCCCACCGCCAGCTGTCCTCGCGCAGCATGGACGGTGAGTGCATACACTGTGCCCGCGGGTGGGGTCCCACTGCCCCCCCAGCGGCCCCCCCCCACACTTCAGCAGGACGCTGTCCCACCGCCAGCTGTCCTCGCGCAGCATGGACGGTGAGTGCATACACTGTGCCCGCGGGTGGGGTCCCACTGCCCCCCCCAGCGGCCCCCCCCCACACTTCAGCAGGACGCTGTCCCACCGCCAGCTGTCCTCGCGCAGCATGGACGGTGAGTGCATACACTGTGCCCGCGGGTGGGGTCCCACTGCCCCCCCAGCGGCCCCCCCCACACTTCAGCAGGACGCTGTCCCACCGCCAGCTGTCCTCGCGCAGCATGGACGGTGAGTGCATACACTGTGCCCGCGGGTGGGGTCCCACTGCCCCCCCAGCGGCCCCCCCCCACACTTCAGCAGGACGCTGTCCCACCGCCAGCTGTCCTCGCGCAGCATGGACGGTGAGTGCATACACTGTGCCCGCGGGTGGGGTCCCACTGCCCCCCCAGCGGCCCCCCCCACACTTCAGCAGGACGCTGTCCCACCGCCAGCTGTCCTCGCGCAGCATGGACGGTGAGTGCATACACTGTGCCCGCGGGTGGGGTCCCACTGCCCCCCCAGCGGCCCCCCCCACACTTCAGCAGGACGCTGTCCCACCGCCAGCTGTCCTCGCGCAGCATGGACGGTGAGTGCATACACTGTGCCCGCGGGTGGGGTCCCACTGCCCCCCCAGCGGCCCCCCCCACACTTCAGCAGGACGCTGTCCCACCGCCAGCTGTCCTCGCGCAGCATGGACGGTGAGTGCATACACTGTGCCCGCGGGTGGGGTCCCACTGCCCCCCCAGCGGCCCCCCCCACACTTCAGCAGGACGCTGTCCCACCGCCAGCTGTCCTCGCGCAGCATGGACGGTGAGTGCATACACTGTGCCCGCGGGTGGGGTCCCACTGCCCCCCCCAGCGGCCCCCCCCACACTTCAGCAGGACGCTGTCCCACCGCCAGCTGTCCTCGCGCAGCATGGACGGTGAGTGCATACACTGTGCCCGCGGGTGGGGTCCCACTGCCCCCCCAGCGGCCCCCCCCACACTTCAGCAGGACGCTGTCCCACCGCCAGCTGTCCTCGCGCAGCATGGACGGTGAGTGCATACACTGTGCCCGCGGGTGGGGTCCCACTGCCCCCCCAGCGGCCCCCCCCACACTTCAGCAGGACGCTGTCCCACCGCCAGCTGTCCTCGCGCAGCATGGACGGTGAGTGCATACACTGTGCCCGCGGGTGGGGTCCCACTGCCCCCCCAGCGGCCCCCCCCACACTTCAGCAGGACGCTGTCCCACCGCCAGCTGTCCTCGCGCAGCATGGACGGTGAGTGCATACACTGTGCCCGCGGGTGGGGTCCCACTGCCCCCCCAGCGGCCCCCCCCACACTTCAGCAGGACGCTGTCCCACCGCCAGCTGTCCTCGCGCAGCATGGACGGTGAGTGCATACCATGCATACCTATATGAAATGAAATGAAATGTCATTTATTCAGTGTAGGCTGTTACAAGCACTTGTGAAGGTCAAGAAGCTACGCCATCGGTTCGCAAAACTACGGCGGGAGACCTTGTATTGAGAAGAACCGGCAAGAAACTCAGCAAGGGCTGTTTTTTTCTCCCTGTTTTGTTATATACAGAGTCGTCAAGTTGAAAAATGACTTCAGAGATACGTCTGAAGTCACCTTCCATTACATCATCTATATAAATAAAAATGAATTGTTGTTCGTTAGTCTGCTTAAAACTCGAGAACGGCTGGGCCGATTGAGCTGATTTTGGTTTTAAAATGTTTGTCGTAGTCCAGGGTAGGTCTAAACGGTGAGCAAATAAGGAAAAATTGCGAGTAAGATAGAGTAAGACGACAATTTCATTTTCCCATCTAAAAGTTGATCACTTACTTTCTGTCAAACATTTGACGGTATTTGTACTCTCAGTTCCACTCGAATTGAAGAACGCATTAAAACAAGACTTTTGAATCGACAACATAATATCAACTTTGCTTATAACATCGTGTATTTAAATTTCAAAATATAAAAATAATTAATGTGTTGACATATTTGATGGGTGCCAACCTTACAGTGTTACTAACTCTCAAAAATATTTTTATTATATTGTTTTGTCATCTCATGTAAAAAGAACCCGTGTATCCGAACGTGCCATTGTTTTGTCCATATAGACCAGGTTATAAGCCTTAAAAAATAATTGTCATGTCATGTTAAAAAAAAATAAACATTTAATTGGAGAAATACTGAAATACTGCTAAAAGTGATTTTCTTCTCGCTGCTTACAATGCCGAGGAAAAGAAAACGACCTGACATTAGGTCGTCGAAGTCGTGTAAATGTGCAACGAGCTACTTCACGCTCCAACCGCACTAATGACCAGCGAGAGGCTGATAATGATAACAGTCGTACAAGCATGGGAGAATTACGTTCAAGAGTAAATAACTATGAAGTGGATAGGCAGAGAATGGAACGAGTTCGTGCACATCGATCACAACAGCAGCGAGCACGGGATAATGAATTTAATCGATTCCGCAGACGCAATGCTCCTGTAAACCTCGAACGAGGAGCATTTTCCTACGATCCGGAAATTGATTATAGTGCCGACAAATCTGTGACGATTGGAGAAATGTCAATCATTTGTCAACATTGTAAAGCACTAAAATACAGTAGTGAACCTGCAGGATTATGTTGTGCTGGTGGCAAAGTACAATTGCCACAATTGGTTCCACCACCTGAACCGTTACACTCATTAGTTAATGGGATGGAAAGTGAGTCTAAACACTTCTTGGCTAACATCCAAAAATATAATAATTGCTTCCAAATGACATCGTTTGGTGCAACGCATATAGTAGAAGACGGGTTCATGCCCACTTTCAAGGTAGTATACCAGAATTGTTTTAGTGAAATTCTAATTTGTATTTGTATCACAATTAATTTAACCAGTTCTTAAACAATTACAGATACAAGGACAAATTCATCACCAACTGGGGGCAATGCTGCCAGTGCCAGATGCAGATCATAAATTTTTGCAAATTTATTTTATGGGCAATCAAGATGCGGAAGTTAATACACGTTGTGGTCATAATCCAACCGTCAAGCGAACCATTGTCCAACAACTGCAAACATTTCTTCACGAGAATAATGAATTAGTGAAGGTGTTCAAAACGGCACTGGATCGGATGCCATCAGACAGCCATAATATTGTAATAAGAGCCGACAAAACACCTGCTGGAGAGCATGCAAGGAGGTTTAATTCACCGACAATAGATGAAGTGGCTATTGTCGTTGTTGGAGAGAATTTGCAATCAAGAGATATTGTACTTCATCGCCGGAACAATGAATTGAAACGTGTATATGAAACGCATAGAGCTTATGATGCTTTACAATATCCATTAATTTTCTGGCAGGGAGAAGATGGGTACCATTTTAATATCAAAATGGTTAATCCAACAACAGGTAATTAGATTATACAAAATAAAATATTTTATATATATATTCAATATATAAATGTATTTTTTTATCATTTGTACTTCCAGGTGCTGATACACAGAAAAAAGTCAGTGCCATGAATTATTATGCATACAGACTCATGATCCGTGAAGGTGAAGTAAATCACATTTTGATGTGTCAACGGCTCTTTCATCAGTATGCAGTGGACATGTACGTCAAAATTGAGACTGAACGATTGACATACATTCGTCTAAACCAACAGCAGCTTCGATCTGAAGATTACATTCATCTTCGCGATGCAATCAATGCTGACGGCAATGTAAATAATGTAGGAAGAATGACAATTTTACCGGCCACTTACATCGGAAGCCCGCGCCACATGCACGAGTACGCTCAAGATGCGATGTCTTATGTTCGAAAGTATGGCCGTCCAGACCTATTCATTACATTCACCTGTAACCCACAATGGATTGAAATAAAAAAAGAACTGCTACACAACCAAACACCACTTGATAGGCATGACATCACAGCCAGAGTTTACAAGCAAAAATTAAAATCTTTAATGAATTTCATTACAAAGCATCGTGTGTATGGCCAAGTACGTTGTTGGATGTACGCTGTTGAGTGGCAAAAGCGTGGTTTGCCACATGCTCATATATCAATCTGGTTGGTTGACAAAATAAGGCCAGAAGAAATTGATTCCATTATTTCAGCCGAAATTCCTGATAAAACGGTTGACCCAAAATTGCACATAATAGTAACTAAACACATGATACATGGACCTTGCGGAGTTATCAACAACAGCTCACCCTGTATGATCGACGGCAAGTGCTCCAAACGGTACTCGAGAAACTTGGTTGCTGAAACCATCTCTGGAATCGATGGTTACCCATTGTATCGTCGGCGATCAGTTGAGGACGGTGGACGATCTGTAGATGTCAAGATAAAAGGACAAGATTTTCATGTAGACAATCGTTGGATTGTGCCGTTCTCGCCCATATTGTCCAAAACTTTTGAAGCTCACATCAATGTGGAATATTGTAACTCTGTGAAATCCATAAAGTACATATGTAAATATGTTAACAAAGGTAGCGACATGGCCATCTTCGCAGTAACAAACACAAATGATGAAGTGTCTCACTATCAGATGGGTCGCTATGTAAGCAGCAATGAGGCTATTTGGCGCATATTTTCGTTTGCAATTCATGAAAGACATCCCACTGTATTCCATTTGGCAGTTCATTTGGAAAATGGACAACGAGTGTATTTCAACCCAAACAACGCTGTGGATAGAGCGGCACGTCCA